AAAGGAATTGGTCTTACAGAATACAATTCAATTAAACTTTTGTGACTCAATATAAAAACTATTTCTGTTTATGATTCTAAAATTTGTAATATACGAATAAATTCATCGATGTAAGATTCGTTTGCATTTTCTGAATTATCAACCAATTTTTTTATAAAATAATAATCGATTAATCTTTTAGATATTGATATTTCTAATTTAGTAAATTTCTTTTTTGAGCCTAAATATGCTAATTTGTCTGCTTGTTCATTCTCATAAATACCCCTATGTCCTTTTACATGATTGAAATATGTTTTGCCTTTTCGTTCCTTGATTAAATCATTAAATCTGAATACAAGATCTGTATTTTTTTTAGGTGTTTCGTTATTATATGAATTAATCACATACATACTATCTGTATTTATAATAATATCTTGATATTTATCAATAATTTCTAATGCACGAATAGCGGCATATAATTCAGCTCGGTTATTTGTTTGAATTTCTCCAGGAAGTCATTCAGACAGATTTCTAGAATCGTTATCTTCAAAAAATATACCCACTCCAGCAATTGAATTTAATTTTCCTAAATATTGTTTTTTACCATTTTTTTCTTCACAATTGTAGCAATAACTATCAGTCCAAACTGATAATTTATCTTTAGTATCTATTGGTTTTATAAAATCTTCAGCCTGCTGTCTCGTACTAAATTTTTTATACAAAGCACCAGGAAATTCATGAATCTGTTGTTTACATTGTTCTAGCAACAAGTAAATTCCTGGTTCATGACCAACACGAACCGCATAATAACCTAATGTTGAATAATACGTGAAATTTGACATCTTGTGGTCATTCAACAGAAGTTGAATTAATACAAGGGTAATAAATTACCAGGTGGGAGGTGAGAGTTAGTATCAAGTAAAAAAAGCAAATTCTTAAACAAAATACAGTTTGGAGCTCCCTCACCTTTTGAATTCTAATTAATGATTTATCTTTACTGCAAGAGTAAAAAATTTTAATATGTAGTATAATATAAAGTATAATGCGAAACAGAAAGAAAAAGCTTTTGCAAGTTCGATCAAACAGAACAAATTCTTTATCATAGAAGAGAATTATGGAGAGAAAAATCTAATCGGTCAAAAGACTAATTAGATATAAAAAAGCTTTAAAGTTCGATCAAAATAAGAATATAAAGATTCTGAAATTTTTCAAACACCGAACCGATTCCTTTATCATAGCAATT